AAATGTATGGTGTGATGTCATGTGATCATTACTAGGTGAAGTCATTGGCGGATTGTGCAAGTGGGATGGTGTAAGTGTCTATGAAGAATTAAGAGACGTCTTGTTGAGTGGAATAAAGAATAACATAGTGAGGGAGCTCGATCCTACCGATCATGCTGAACTGGTCAAGAAACTACAAGAGGATAATACTAGTGAAGACCAAGAGGAGAACAGAAGTGTAAGGGAGAGAGAGGGGGAGGTGGGCTCAAGTAAAGGAAATAATGTTTATCATGTATAGCATCTTCTGCTCAATTTACTTAAGTACAAATGCACTTGTAGGGAGCTCACAAAATTAAATTCACTTAAATAATTATTAATAGTTCCTAGCTATACGGATGACAAGAGTCATTAATTAGTTTTATTTCACTCATTTGTAGGCTAGTCCTTCACCTCCTCCTACAGCTTCTAATGTCTTTCATGAAACAGCTGGTTGGAAGAGCTTAGAGACTTACATGAAGTAAGTACCGTAAACATAAAAAAATTCGTTGCAATTTAATTTTCGTGTTTTTCGTGGGACGAAAAATCCACGAAAATTAAAAATTAACCCTTTCTGTTCTGATCATGTGCATGTACACGTTTAGCAACGAACGGACACACCCCCCACGAAAGTTAATTCCAGCGAAAATTAATTTCTGGGCCTTCTGGAGCTAAACCACGAATTGTTTTACTACGAATTTTTTTATGTTTACGGTATGAGAGTAAAATATTGAATTTTATCCTCTCGTTTAATGTTAATCATGTATTGTTTTTTTTGTTCTTCTTCTCTCCCTCAAAGTGCTCTACAGTATGCTGTTGAAGGTTGTGGCAGCTCATTTGAGCCACACATTACATCAGAGCTCCTTGATCTTCTCTTCACTGCACTGGAACACATCAACAGGTTTGTACGTGAGACAGGATATAAGGTCCTCGCTGCCATTGTCAAGTGTCCGGGTAAGAAGTAAATGTACAATGTAGACTTGAGTGCATGTGCAATGTACATGTACATGTAGTTACTAGTGTTAAAGCAGGGTTTCCCATAGAATTTTGCATAGTGCTAATGCAGGCTCTTGTCAGTGGATTTTGAATTTTTCCCGAAATTTGATTGTACAAATTCTGCATGTGGTAGCAAACTTATTTATTATTAATGATGGAAAGTAATTGATTTTAGTGAGAACAAGCCAAATTGTAAATCTCTTGTTTGAGCTCTGTTGCAACAATTATTCAAAATACCATGCATACCACCTTCTTTCTCACCTTCTCTCTCTCTCACCCTCCAATGAATTTAGAAATTTTTTTTAAGTTGTTAAAAATCAGACAGAAATTATAAGGAGAGAATTCTCAATTTGTATAATTTTTTCTGATACATATACATGTACATGTATGTATATTCCATAGAAAGTTTGAGCAGATTCCAATCAAAATTAGATTTTTTAACGAATTTTCAATGTTACTAAAAAATCAACCAAAAGTCCCTGTACTAGTTACTAGTACATGGTCTCGGGCCAAATTTTGCCAAAATTGAAAAGGATAGAATTTTCCATTTTTATAATTTTTTGCTACCCATACATGTACATGTATTCTGTTGCATAGAAAGTTTAAGCAGATTCTTATCAAAAATAGATTTTTTTGAATTTTCAAAAGATGCTCAAAAATTTTCAAAGTTGGCCATGCAAATCAGGAGTTTCTCCTAGCACCATGCATGGTCTCAGGCCAAATTTCGTCAAAATTGATAAAGATACATTTTTATCATTTTTTCTGATACATGTACATGTACAGTATGCATATGTGTACTTGTTTTTATGTTGTGTAGCAAGTTTGAGCTGCATGATTACAATAAAATAGATTTTTTACAAATTTTAAAGTTGCTTCAAACGCTATTAATTGTCAACTCATGAACCATGTTGTGTAGCTCATAGGAAACCCTAAGCTACCTTAAGGAGACAATTATTAGCGTGTACTTATTTTAGCGATTTTCATGAAACTGACATTTGGCTGGTACTTAATTTAGCGTTTTTGATCATTTGGTATTAATAACTTCCATGCAGGCTAGAAGAATTAATAGGACGAGCCTAAGCAAGCTATAGATTACATGCTGTGATCTACATGTATGAGCAAGCAAAGCAATTGCACAAGTCTAAATGCTCTAATACAGTAGATCTTGTTGCATTAATCTTGCTTAAATTGCTTCATCACTGACTCTGCAGCCACATGTAAAGTTATCTTGCTTACAGTTAGAAGCAGTCACTGAACGAAGAAGATTATCATCTGCTTTGTTAACTTAGGCTAACTGCTAAAGAAGTCTTTGGACAGCAGTTTAGTACTATCTTGCTGACTGTTTGCTCAAGTAAGCTTAGACTTGCTGACGGCCGCCATTTTATACATTGTGACCACACCCACTTTCAATTAAGAAATTAAAATTAGTGCGGACTTAAGTTAGCGATTTTTTAAAAATCGCTAAAATTCGCTAAATTAAATACCCGCAAACAATTGTCTCCT